TGCCAATTGTAGAGACCTGGCCAAGTTGTAGAGGACCTGGCCAAGTTGTAGAGGACCTGGCCAAGTTGTAGAGGACCTGGCCAAGTTGTAGAGGACTTGGCCAAGTTGTAGAGGACTTGGCCAGGTCCTCTACAACTTGGCTAAGTAATTTTATGCTTTGAAGTCCCAAAAGTATTTTCAGTAGTATAGCCTTGTGGGTTTAGCGCTTATGTCTCCAGAGTCTGTATTAGAGCGTCTTGGGGGGGGAGTGTTGTTTTGAAATTGGGTTATGCAGTATATATTTAGAGAGACTTACCTAGACCCCCCCCCTTGATCTACCTAGACCCCCCCCTTGATCTTACCTAGACTCCCCCCCCCCCCCTTGATCTTACCTAGACCCCCCCCCTTGATTTTACCTAGACCCCCCCCTTGATCTTACCTAGACCCCCCCCTTGATCTTACCTAGACCCCCCCCCCTTGATCTTACCTAGACCCCCCCCCTTGATCTTACCTAGACCCCCCCCTTGATCTTACCTAGACCCCCCCCCTTTGATCTTACCATTACCTCCCTTCATCCCCGCTTGCGCAGCCACTTCTCTGCAAATTATTAAACCCCCCCCCCCCAGCTTAAAGCTCCCGAATTGTGAGAATGTTGTCGTCCTGCTGATAAATACAGCAGTTGAGGCTTCTCAGTTATTTACATTGTTGTGTTTTTCTTGAACACCTTTGTGTTCCTTGAACATTGTAATAATTAAAATGCTGTGATAAAGATAATTTATTTAATGCTCTTAAGTATCAAATCTCGTAGGTTGAAGATATTCTTCATGCTGTGGGCAGCTGCTGTGTGGTGAAGGCCGTGTCGTGGGCAGCTGCTGTGTGGTGAAGGCCGTGTCGTGGGCAGCTGCTGTGTGGTGAAGGCCGTGTCGTGGGCAGCTGCTGTGTGGTGAAGGCCGTGTCGTGGGCAGCTGCTGTGTGGTGAAGGCCGTGTCGTGGGCAGCTGCTGTGTGGTGAAGGCCGTGTCGTGGGCAGCTGGAAGTCTTCAGAGATGTCACCAAGAGCAGCAACTCGCCAAAACAATGTCTGTAAAGCTAAAAGTATGAACATTACTAATTATTCATGAACTGCAGTAAGCAATAGTCTGAAGTCTTGCTATGTATTTAGAATGCTTCCTTCAACATTTTATAGAAAGAAATAGTTGAAATATTTTCAAAGCTGATCTATTAAAAATTACCATGAAATTGGAATAATTAAAGTTTTTTAAATTACCGGAGGTTGATGGAGCTGGAGGTGTTGATGGTGTGGTGGATGGCAGAGGAGTGACTAGTGGCGCCACTATTCTTGACCTCCATGGCTAAATGGCGCCATTGACCTGGAGGGGTGATGACGTCAGTGGTTGTTTGTGGGGAGGGGGAAGGGTCGGGGGTTGGCTGCTGGTGGAGGGGTTGGGGGTGAGTAGTTATTGTTAGTAGTGGGAGAGTTTTGGGGAGGGGGGGAGGGAGGATGGTTGTCACTTGGTAATTACTAAGAGACTAACACAGTCTTGTTACTGTGTGTTAACGTGGCTTGAACCTTGATATTCGAAACGCCCTGGACACTAGCCCAGAGACACTCGTTTGCCAAATATTCGTAATTCAAATGAACAATGCCCATGGACTCGTCTTGAAAACCGTCTCCTTGATGTTGGGCTGACGTATTTGACATCTCATGTGGGTTTACGGCTTAGTTTTAATAGTAGTAAGCCACAGGACCTTGTCTTCCTTTGCAGATGACACCCGAGTTTACACGACAGTGTCCTCCATTAAGATACTGCAAGACTCCAGGCGGACATCAACCAAATCTTTATATTGACCACAGAAAACTATATGAAGTTCAATGATGAGAAATTTCAACTACGACATGGAAAACGTGATGAAATTAAAACTATATCAGAGTATAAAACAAATTCCAACCATACAATATAACGAAAAACTAATGTAAAAGACCTGGGAGTGATAATGTCAGAGGATCTCACTTTCAAAGACCACAACATTGTATCAATCGTATCTGCTAGAAAAATGACAGGATGGATAATGAGAACCTTCAAAATTAGGGATGCCAAGCCCATGACACTCTTCAGGTCACTTGTTCTATCTAGGCTGGAATATTGCTGCACACTAACAGCACCTTTCAAGGCAGGTGAAATTGCTGACCTAGAAAATGTACAGAGAACCTTCACGGCACACACAACTGTGAAAAAACACCTCAATTACTAGGAGCGCTTGAAGTTCCTCGACCTGTACTCCCTAGAACGCTGGCGGGAGAGATACATGATTATATACACTTGGAAAATCCTAGAGGGATTAGTACCAAACTTGCACGTGAAAATAACTCCCTATGAAAGAAAAAGACTCGGCAGACAACCAGGGTTGGATTTATAAGGGGCAAAGGGAACAACTGCCCTGGCTCCCCCCCTGCCAGAGGGCCCCCCAGACAAAGGACTTCCATTATAACAAAATATAATAAAAAATGATTTAATGAAAGGAATTAAATAGTGTGTGTGGGGGGGGGGATCAGAAAATAAATGAAAGGGTGCCCCCACCGCCCTCTCCCTATTAATAACTTAACTATTTCTGGCTAGTGTCAGTTTAGAGATAAATGACCAGACCATGAGGTCAGAGGTGACCAGGGTGCACACACGCATGTCTGTGCGTGCATGCAAGGTAGCTATTGTGTGTAGGGCTTTGACTGGCTATGTTGAGCTCAGAAGGGCTATTTCTGGCTAGTGTCAGTGCAGATGCCAATGAGAGTCGATTGGTGTCCTGGGGCTATATATGCGTCTGTATGTGTTCGCTGACCGCTTATAGTGCTAGACAATGGTGTGGTGGGGCAGTGGCGTCCGTGTTTTAGATCTGTTTTTTTTCCTCATAAAGGTTTGCAGTATATCATCGTTTTGCAATTACACCCCCCATCACACAGTGTGTGTCTCATTAATTACATTGTCATTAAATGTCAAAAAAAATTGCATATTTGTTTTTCAGAAAACCCAGTATGCCATGGAAAATTCAGTTGTTAGCTCAAAAAAGAAATTTCCAAAGAATCAAGCGAAAGAAATGTTGCAGTCTTGGCAAAAACACCCCTCAAGGAAGGTTCCTTGATGTTGGTGAGGGGCTCTTGATTTAGGAAATTGGATCTGTGCTCCAGTTCCTCGAATTAAGCCTCCGGGTTTAGCGCTTTCCCTTGATTAACATAATTGGCAAAAACTAAACGCCTTACAGAATTTTTCTGTTTCCAGTTCATTTCAGTTTAATATGTTTATTATGCACCCCATTCCCATCCTGTGGGCGTTAGTCAAAAGATTACAGAGGTACATGATGGGTCCAGGGACTGGACCATGTGATTCAGACCCAGCCATGTGGTTTCCTGTCAGAGAAAACCATGTGTACTTTTGGTCAACTGCCACCATATAGATAGATACTGAAAGTCTGACACCAAAGATATAAATAAATACACATCGGAAATTGTTATACAGTGTAGACGGAATATATTACAAACTGAAAATTATGGTCAGTTATTTTTTAAGTCAATAAAATTGAGAAAAATAAAATCAGGCGTCTTCTTCGAAACCTAACATATATTTTTCTAAAACTGTTGTTTATCATTCATTTTAGTTCATGTTTTATTCGTAATTCAATTTAATTTCCATGGTGAGGGCCTCCCATGGTCTAAATCCGGCCCAGCAGACCATAGCTGACATTAGTGTTACTGTATCCCCTCAAGGAAGGTTCCTTGATGTTGGTGAGGGGCTCTTGATTTAGGGAATTGGATCTGTGCTCCAGTTCCCTGATTTTTTTTTTATTTAAAACATACCTGGAGTTTACCTGGAGAGAGTTTCGGGGGTCAACGCCCCCGCGGCCCGGTCTGTGACCAGGCCTCCTGGTGGATCAGCGCCTGATCAACCAGGCTGTTGCTGCTGGCTGCACGCAAACCAACGTACGAGCCACAGCCCGGCTGATCAGGAACTGACTTTAGGTGCTTGTCCAGTGCCAGCTTGAAGACTGCCAGGGGTCTGTTGGTAATCCCCCTTATGTGTGCTGGGAGGCAGTTGAACAGTCTCGGGCCCCTGACACTTATTGTATGGTCTCTTAACGTGCTAGTGACACCCCTGCTTTTCATTGGGGGATGGTGCATCGTCTGCCAAGTCTTTTGCTTTCGTAGTGAGTGATTTTCGTGTGCAAGTTCGGTACTAGTCCCTCTAGGATTTTCCAGGTGTATATAATCATGTATCTCTCCCTCCTGCGTTCCAGGGAATACAGGTTTAGAAACCTCAAGCGCTCCCAGTAATTGAGGTGTTTTATCTCCGTTATGCGCGCCGTGAAAGTTCTCTGTACATTTTCTAGGTCGGCAATTTCACCTGCCTTGAAAGGTGCTGTTAGAGTGCAGCAATATTCCAGCCTAGATAGAACAAGTGACCTGAAGAGTGTCATCATGGGCTTGGCCTCCCTAGTTTTGAAGGTTCTCATTATCCATCCTGTCATTTTTCTAGCAGATGCGATTGATACAATGTTATGGTCCTTGAAGGTGAGATCCTCCGACATAATCACTCCCAGGTCTTTGACGTTGGTGTTTCGCTCTATTTTGTGGCCAGAATTTGTTTTGTACATAAATTACAAGGTAGCATAAAATATTAAATGCCACACCAATACAGGATCTGGACAAGATTACTAAGAATTATATAACAAGTGCAAGAGAAAAAATTTTGAAACACGCAAAATACATACACACCATTCACTGACACACATTATACAAAAATGATAATATATCTGACACATACACACAAAACTGTTGGAGGGGGGACCTCCCCCCATGAAAACTCATCTATAAATACACCCACATCATTTGCACACTTATTGATCACAGCAGTGATCAAACATAAATTTTTGTAACTATATATACATGCAACTGTTTGTGAAATTTAACTTAACAAAATCTGCTAATTATCCGAAAACATTACTCTATAATATAAATAATCATTACACAAAATTGCATAAGTGTATAAAGCATCAATAACTGCAAGATTTTTACAGCATACGTTGCATCAGCAACGAAACTTAATACCATTACAAAAGTGATGAAAAACAAATTATGTAAAAACAAATATAAAAGTCATCTAAGAGGAAATAAATTCCCTACAAAATTACAATAAATACTGCAAAAATACAAACGAGAAAAATTATCTTTGCAAAAACTGGTAGATCAATATGGACAGTGACTTCTGCAATTCCCTTTTAATCACAGGGCCCTAATTTATACAAATCTTGGGCTTATCAAAACCTTTCACACAAAACTTACATGTCAACACAGCACCACGCAGTACATACCTTCCCGACCCTCACATTCTTTTGCAAAAACTTTACCTCATACACTCCCCCTCCGAAAAACTAATGTCAACCCGCTTATAAAGGAAACCATTCCTTTACGTATAATTAGCTCGCCAACTGCATGAGGCCATTGACCGTAATTTTGCAGTAGGTCTCCGGAAAACGTGCCCTCCACTGTCCCCCATAAATAAGTTTGTTTCTGCAAACCGTTCTATATATGCCCGCCGCAATTGCCCTAATCCTAATTCTCCCCCCTCCCGTGTCCCTCATCCCCCAGGAAATATACAGAAAATCCACCACTACATACATAATCGCCCTTTTCACTTCTCTGGAGACCCCGCGTACTTCTAATGTTAAGGCTCGCAGGGTCTCTATGTTACCCCCACCCATCAACCTAAAAACCTTCGCTAACCACACCCTTACCTCCCTCAACCCTTCACAGAAATAAACGGCATGAAAAGCTGTTTCCTGTTCTCCACAGTGATCGCAGGTCTGTTCCCTCACCAATCCCATTGAACACAAAACAGCTTTCGATGCTAATATCCCCATCATAAATCTATGTACAAACTCCTGTACTCTCGGCATTAACTTAAGCTTTCGAAAGTCATTCCATATCATCCCCCAATCATACAAGGGATAAACCGATACCCCCTGTATGATTTCCGGCCTCCTGCTCATCATCACCAAATTCCCCACCCTAAGTTTTTCCACCTCCCTAATCAATAACAATAACCTCAGCATATCCTCGCATTCAATTAATTCTTTTCCGCTTCACCATCTCCGCACATCCTCCATCACTTTCCCCACTCTAACCCTTCTTTCCCCCCCTCCCTAACGAACCTCTGTTTCACATATAAGGCCTTTACTCTCGGCCCCAACGCTAAAAGGCCTCCCTCCACTGGTAATTCGCATCACCACCTCCTTGTTAGCCCATCCCTCCTAAAACCCCAAAACAAAACATAATGCCCTCTCTAATCTCTGTCTCTTGGGTCCACAGGGGTACACCACAGCCATACCCACACTTTACTAAAAAAAAATTTACATTATCACCTGCGTTGTAAGGGGATCCCCCCCGTAAACTCCTTACCTTTTTACTGCCCTCTCCACCACCCCTCCAAATTCACCTCCCAGCCTCCCGCGCATCTGTCATGTATAAAACCCACAAATTTTTTGCCTAGCCACTCTTCCCACCCAAACCCCAACCCCAAGGGCCCCCCCCACGCAGGCACCCACCTCCAAAAAAATTTGATTTGCTTGTTCACCCGCATTCCCCCGGGCCCTCCCAAAAACTCCAAACACTTTCCACCAAAAACCCAATCCCTCCACTCCGGCTACAGAACAGGGTATCGTCCCAACCCCCCACATCTAACCCCCTCCTTCTCCCCATTAAAATCCCCCCCCCAACAGCCCATAAAAAGGAAAGCTGCATACAAGCAACAAAATTTTTTAGACGGGGGCACCCCTGTCTCAAACCCCCCCCACCTTTCAGCCTTTCCCAACCCGCCATTTAAATTTTTACCCCCCACCATTGCAGAAACACATTGTACAACCCCCACCTCACCCCCCTCCCAGCCAAAACCGAAATGCACAAACTAGCCCTCAGAAAGTTTTTTTACCACACATCGTACCATTTTCCCAATCAATACCCCAAAAACCCCCCTCCCATTGCAACCCTCCAAAAAATTTTTCCCAATTTGGCCTGCCCATCTCCTGCTTTTCCCAGAATCCCATCTGCCCCTTTTAATAACCCCACCAACACCTTTTTCATCCTATTGCCCATTTCCTTCAAAAATTTGTAGTCGGGGACCATTAGCGAAATAGCTCTGTACTCACTCAATACCTTCCCTCTTTTTTTTTTTGCACTAAACACTACACCCATTTGCTAGTCTGTCCTAACTGTCCCCCCATCACATACAATTCAGACCCTCACCAGACGTACTTAATGGCCCCATTGAATTCTATAAAAAACATTTAAACCCATCTATACCCGGTACCTTGCCATACCAGTTGAAAAACACCTCCTCAACTTCTCCCATGCTAATCCACCCCCCTCCCCATCCCTCCCTCCAAATGACCCTAAACCTCTCCCCCCCACACCTCCCTCAAAACATCGCCCTCCCCCCCCTTCCCCCCCCTTCTTTTTGGAAACCGAAATCAAAATTGCTCATGCCTTCTGTAGTATTTTACTGTCCCTTTTTGAAACCACCCATTCCTACCCTTTTCCTCCCAATTTAAAATAGTCAAATCCTTCCCCGCCTTACCTAAAACCTCGAAAACACTCCCGAAGGTTTATCCCCCCACAGCACAGCCTCCATTCCTGCCCTTACACGTACCCACAAATTACCATTATGAAACTCTCCAAACCCGTCCTTTATTGCATCATTTTCCGTACTATCCACCCTCCGATTCCCCCTTTTCCTTCGCCCCTTTGCAGCACCACAGAACCGGTGCCACCATTCCCCGGGAGATCTAGCACGGTCTTCCAAGGTTTCTTTCCAGATCTCTGCCCTGGCGTTAAGACATCTTCCATATCAGACGTCCCAGCTGCTTGCTTACGTGTGCCAACTCCACACGTTGCCTCAGCATCCATGTCCTCCTGGTGCACCTCAACCACCACCATGTGCTGCTTACTTTCGTTGCACAAGGTGTTCTCACACTCCTGTGCAACTGCTACCCCCTCCAATACCCTCCCGTCCTTCTCCCCTTCCTGTTTTCCACCTCCCCCAAGAAGTCTTTCAAGACCTCGTCCAACAGACCATCCTGTTGTAAGTCACTTCTGTCAACAGTCGCATCCGTAGATGGTCGCTCAGACACAGTTCCCACAGGAAATGTGGTGCACGCTCCCAACTCCGACTCCGCTCTGTCTACTTCTTCACTCCAACTTCCAGATGCCTGTCTTGCAGCTTCACCTGTCCCAGGTGCCAAGGAGCCCAGCTGTCATTCCACAGTTGTTGGCACCTGTTCCCTCCGTCCCTGCCTTTGATGACATTGAGCCGCCATATGGTCATAAGACCCGCACAGCCTACATGTCCGACGCTGTCCTGCATAATACACATAAACCTGTGTTCTGAACTCTTCCATCAGAACGTACGATGGTATAGGTTGTCTCAATGTCATCTTCAATGTGAAAGATCCCTCTTGCAGCACCATATAAGGCCCATCCTTCCACACTCCCAACTCTGCTGAATGTTTCTTGCCATACCTACGGAATACCTCCTCAAAGGGGACATTTCTCACCTTTACCCACGTTACATAGCTTGATACGTCATGTAGGCAGACCTCCACTGCAGAATTAATGGTCATCCTCTTTTCTTGGAACGCATCTACTATGCTGGAGTAAAACCCAGCACTCTTGAACTTGACGAAGATCCTGGACACTCCATTCACTGCTACACCATATAACTCGTCGTTCGGTATGCCGTACACATCGCGGATGATACTTGGCAGAAGCACCTGCATTGTAGAACTACTCAGGGTACCACGTACCAGCTCCACACAGACAGTATTTACCCTGCGTCCATGTCTGTCCGCCATTTTGATTGCTCAAAACAGGAAAACTGCACAGAAAACCAGATGATTCGGGAGCTACTGCGCAGCCTGTCCACACGGCCCGGGAGCGATAAGGACAATCAGTTCCCCAAATTAAGCCTGAATGCCTTCCACATCCCCCCCCAGGCGCTGTATAATCCTCCGGGTTTAGCGCTTCCCCCTTGATTATGATGAGTGTTACTGTATTGAAAGCCCCTCGTTATGCCAAGCATTTTGGGCAACTTAAGTTAATTTTGTCCCCAGGATGCGACCCATGAGAGTCGACTAACACCCAGGTACCTACTTACTACTAGATGATTTAGCTCTTTCTTTGATTATAATAATAATTACTGCTAGGTGAACAGTGACAGCAGGTGTCTTAAGGAAACACGCCATTAGTGTTTCCATCCGTACCGGGGATCGAACCACAAACCTCAATGTGTGAAATGAGTGCGCTACCAACTGAACTACGGTACATGCCAAGAAATACACCACCTAGAAGCTTCCCACTAACAAGTATTTTCTAATTCTTTTCCCTCTAAACACATCCTGAGATGCTGGGAAAGATATCTTCTCCCAGCATCTCAAAAGTGCTGTGCCGAGGGACTGATTACCATTCTTCTTAGTATTGGACTGGTGAAACCACTGGCTGGAGAAACTTTTCCACAATAAAAATTTCCAAAACGTCGCACAAGTCATTCTTCTGTATGACTGCCCCTGTGCCCCCCCCTTGATGCTGGTGACTCCTCAAGGAAGGTTCCTTGATGTTGGTGAGAGGCTCTTGATTTAGGAAATTGGATCTGTGCTCCAGTTCCCCGAATTAACCCCTCAAGGAAGGTTCCTTGATGTTGGTGAGGGGCTCTTGATTTAGGGAATTGGATCTGTGCTCCAGTTCCCCGAATTAAGCCTGAATGCCTTCCACATCCCCCCCCCCCAGGCGCTGTATAATCCTCCGGGTTTAGCGCTTCCCCCTTGATTATAATAATAATAATCCCCGAATTAAGCCTGAATGCCTTCCACATCCCCCCCTCAGGCGCTGTATAATCCTCCGGGTTTAGCGCTTCCCCCTTGATTATAATAATAATGTATGACTGCCCCTCTGCCCCCCTTGATGCTGGTGAGGGGCTCTTGATATGGGGAACTGGATCTGTGCTCCACTTCCCTGAATATCTTCCCCGCCCCACAGATGCTGCATAATCCCTACGGGTTTAGCACAGCCCTATAATAATCTACATAACTGAACAAGCTTGCTGTGTAGGTTTCTTCAGACATAAATATTATTATTAAAACGGCCCACTTTCTTCCCATGTCTTACATAAGACAGAGGGGAATACAGTGCAGACTTGAGAGGAATTGTTAATTTTACATCAACCACAACAACTGTGATTGTTTCATAGTCAAGAGCACCTCACAGTTTCCCTCACACACAGTATATGAAGGTATTGTGGTCAATAATCTACGATATTAATTTTGCACGAAAAATAATTCAGGTTCTCTACACATATGCTGCTATGTATGATAATTCTATGTAACTGTATTTGTGTACGCTGTATAGCCCTTGTGGCTTAGCGCTTCTTTTTGATTATAATAATAATGTATTTGTGTATACCTGAATAAATTTACTTACTTACTTACTTACTTATATGGGAGTGAGAATAGCGTTCATGTATTAAAAGAAATGTATTAAGTCAAGAAATGTATTAATGATCGCGTTGGGACCCACTTGTTAAATAAATATTACCCCAATATTTCATGGCACATTACGTAATATGTACTTTATTGTGCATCATGGTTACAAGAGAAAATAAGCAAGACTAATTTACATTATTCATGAATGCTTCTTGGAATTTTATTAGCAGTACATCTGCTATAATATAATTTACTTATTGTGTTTGGCTCTTGTATACTGTCATATATCCAAATTTAATAGTGACATACATTGGCTTGACATTTAACTTGGAACAATGACTGTGTTACAACAAGAGAAATTGTTTTAGAATTATATATATTGTATATTTCCAGCAAATGTGTTCTAGCAACCTGGTAGTGTTTACACAATTTCCTGTAACTTGTTACTGTTGTGTACTGGTGTTGTGTAGGTGTGGACGTCTCTTTCTGACCTCCTCCCTCAGGTATTACCGTTAAATCCCCTTATTTTCTTGCCCTGATACGTTTGTCCTGGTCAAATACTGCCGGTGGCCAGTTAATATAATAAAAGCCTGTTAGTGTTGACTCAGGTCTGGGGTGTCTGGTGATAGTTATCACCTGAACTTATCTGGGAACTTATTCCTGTTTCCCCTTCTGGAGGAGGAAACTTTGTTTCCCTAATAATTCCCGCCCACATCTGGCCAACATTTCCGTCCCTGACTCCCTGGAACCAGAGCTCTACACACTGTGAACTTGGGTGTCTCATAACCCTCAACAACAACTTCCTGTTAGTGTTATCACACTGGTTATCATTTTAATTGCTTGAGCGCCTCTGTGCAGCATTATATTGCCCCCTGAGAGATATCATATACTAACACGCTTATCTCACCAACAATACTAACGTATTGTTGGTGAGATAAGCGGGAGCAGTAGTCTAGGGTGGTGGCTGCCTCGCCCTGCTGGCTAAAATTCTCCCTTCACACGGTGAGCGTCCGGGTTCGATTCCCAGCGAGGGTAGAAACATTGGGCGTGTTTCTTTACACCAGTTGTGCGTGTTCCTTGATGCTGGTGAGGGGCTCTTGATCTAGGGAACGATCTGTGCTCCAGTTCCCTTAAGCCTGAATACCTTCCATCCCCCCAGGTGCTGTATAATCCTACGGGTTTAGCGCTCCCCTATGATTATATAATATGTTCACCCATCAGTAATAATGGGTACCTGGATGTTAGTCGACTGGTATGAGTCGCATCCTGGGACAAAACTGACTCAATTTGCCTAAAATGCTCTGCATAACAAGTGGCTTTCTATATAGTAGTATGTCATTGATGTCAGCTATGGTCTGTATACTGTTACGACTTAATCTTCACCGTAACAATAGGGGCACAAATAACTCCAATTTTTTTGTTAGTTTTATTTTATTACCAATCGTTTAGCTTAATTGGTATTTGGTTAGTGAATTAAAATAACCACAAGCAATTATAAATGAAATACTATACAGCAAGGAACCCAATCTTACGTTCAAATTCTCATTAACAGAGTATGATGCAATAATTTCAATTAATAATCTACTAATCTCACCATTTAACTCTTTTAGAAAGGTCTAGGGTAACGAAATAGTTATCTTTCATAAGTGACATGAATTACCAGACTTCAGGAAACTAATGGCAAAGGCAAGACAATAGACTTGGTATAAAGTTTTAGTTTAAGCTAGGAGCTTTGGGTTGAAGACCCATACCGAGTCAGAGCTAGGAGCTGACTGACTCACTCAACTACTCCATAGTATGACTTCAGCTCTGCCAGAAGGCGACGCGTGGCGTCAATTCTAGAACCACCAATTGGTCACTACAGTAGTGGTTACACATTCGTAATACCTAACCTAATAATAATATAATATAATACAATGTAATACAATGAGAGTACTTTTGATGATTCATACTGTACCCGATAATAATATATAGTCGAACCTGCTTTATCTAGCTAGTAATAAAGTGGTTCGCGATATATTATTACAGAACTTATTTTAACCAGGCCTTTTATTTTTGTATATAATGGAGTGAAGTAGGGGCACGTAACAATACCTTGTACATGTACTTGTAATAAACAAAATATTATTATGTTGACTGATAACTCTTCAGGAGAGGTGCCTTGATAATGCTGGAGGGCTCTTGATTCAAGAAATTTAAAATACCCTTCCCATTCCTCGGATCACAACTGATTTTACATTCTGCAGGTGGTATGTGACCTGTATGTGACCTGTATGGGTCTAATGCTTCCTAGTGAAAGGACATGTTACATTTATTTTATACTTTATTTGGTTTTCCAATTTTTTATTTACCCAGTGTAATATATCTATGTATGGTCAGTATTTATGTTATATCTGGGTGTATATGGTTGTAGGGAGCGGTTGAGTGTCAGCTCCTGACCTCAGTTTTTCATTGCCCATTACTAGGTTCACTCCTGGCTTTGAGAGCCTTACCATACCTCTTCTTAAAGTTGTGTATGGATCCTGCCTCTACCACTCCACTGTCCAAGTCATTCTACTTTCTGATTGAGGAATGCTTCCTAACGTCCCTGTGACTCGTCTGTGTTTTCAACTTCCAGCAGGAGTAAACTGGAGAGAAAAAGACGCTCCTTCTACAGAAGACGACGAAGAGTCACTGAGCTCCTCAGGAGTGCTAGAATATCTAATACACGAAAGGAGGCGCTGACCAGGGAAGTGGAAACTATCGAACTTAAGCTAAATGACTCTTACAGGAACCAGGAGAGGCAGGAGGAGCTTAAAGCTATTAGTGAAATTGAAAGAAATTCAAAATATTTCTTTTCATATGCCAAAAACAAGGCAAATACCACATCTAGTATCGGGCCCTTACTCAGACAGGATGGGACTTACACAGATGACAACAAGGAAATGAGTGAAATATTGAAATCCCAGTACGACTCTGTGTTTAGTGAACCACTAATCGGTCTGAGGATCGACGACCCAAATGATTTCTTCATGAATGAGCCTCAAAACTCCATAAATGTATGCCAGATTTCCGACATTACCCTAACTCCGATAGATTTCGAAAAAGCCATTGACAACATGCCTATGCACTCAGCCCCGGGCCCAGACTCGTGGAACTCTGTTTTCATTAAGAACTGCAAGAAACCCCTCTCGCGTGCCCTAAGTACACTATGGAGGAGGAGCTTGGACATGGGTGAAATTCCACAGTCACTTAAAACAACGGATATAGCCCCACTCCATAAAGGTGGCAGCAAAGCATTAGCTAAGAACTATAGACCAATAGCTCTGACGTCCCACATCATAAAAATCTTTGAAAGAGTGTAAGAAGCAGGATTGCAAATCACCTGGATTCCCAAAATCTGCACAATCCAGGGCAACATGGGTTCAGGGCAGGTCGCTCCTGCCTCTCACGACTACTGGATCACTATGACATGGCCTTGGATGCACTGGAAGAAAATCAGAATGCAGATGTAATATACACAGACTTTGCAAAAGCATTTGACAAATGCGATCATGGCGTAATAGCCCATAAAATACGTGCTAAAGGAATAACTGGGAAAGTGGGGAGATGGATCTTCAACTTCCCCAACAAATCGAACACAAAGAGTAGTGGTCACAGAGTTAAATCGGAGGCTGCCATAGTGAAGAGCTCTGTTCCACAAGGCACAGTACTCGCCCCCATCTTATTCCTTATCCTCATATCAGACATAAACAGAGATATACACCACAGCACCGTATCATCCTTTGCGGATGATACTAGGATCTGCATGAGGCTGTCATCTGCTGAGACGCGGTTAACCTCAAGAAGATATAAACAAAGTTTTCCAGTGGGCAACGGTAAACAATATGATGTTCAATGAGGACAAATTCCAACCACTCCGTTATGGAAAACTGGAGGAGATAATAACTAGAACAGAGTATACTACTGACTCCGGCCATACAATAGAGCGAAAAATAATGTAAGGGACCTGGGAGTAGTAATGTCTGAGGATCTCACTTTCAAGGATCACAACAGTGCCACGATCGCACGTGCAAAGAAAATGATAGGATGGATAATGAGAACTTTCAAAACGAGAGATGCCAAGCCCATGATGATCCTTTTCAAATCACTTGTTCTCTCTAGGCTGGAATACTGCTGTACATTAACATCTCCATTCAAAGCAGGTGAAATCGCAGATCTAGAGAGTGTACAGAGATCCTTTTCTGCACGTATAAGTTCTGTCAAGCACCTTAACTACTGGGAAGCTTGGAAGCACTTGACTTGTACTGTTGCAACGCAGGAGGGAGAGATATATCATAATCTACACTTGGAAAATCTTGGAAGGAATGGTCCCAAATCTGCACACAGAAATCACTCCCTACGAAAGTAAAAGACTGGGCAGGCGATGCAAAATGCCCCCAATAAAAAGTAGGGGCGCCATTGGTACACTAAGGGAAAACACCATAAGTGTCCGGGGCCCAAAACTGTTCAACAGCCTCCCATCAAGCATTAGGGGAATTGCCAATAAACCCCTGGCTGCCTTCAAGAGAGAGCTGGACAGATACCTAAAGTCAGTGCCGGATCAGCCGGGCTGTGGCTCGTACGTTGGACTGCGTGCGGCCAGCAGTAACAGCCTAGTTGATCAGGCCCTGATCCATCGGGAGGCCTGGTCATGGACCGGGCCGCGGGGGCGTTGATCCCCGGAATAACCTCCAGGTAACCTCCAGGTAACCTCCAGGTAACCAGCTGTGTCCTCGTGTTCCTGTTTCCAGTATCTTGAACAGTCTATCCCTATCTACCCTGTCAATTCTCAGTATTTTTTTTACATTGTTTTTACATCACTTGAAGTCCTTCCTTCCTCTAATGCCATCAGGTTTAATGTCCTTAATTTTCTTCATAGGACGTACCCCTTAGCACCGTGACGGGGCCACTGTGGCCTGGCTGCCAAAGCTCTCACTTCACATGCTGAGGGTTCGGGTTTATTTTCCGGCAGGGTGGAAACATTTTGCCGTGTTTCTTTACACCTGTTGTCCTGTTCACCTAGTAAGTAGGTACCTGGGTGTTAGTAGAATGGTGTAGGTCGCATCCTGAGGGACAAGATTGAGGGGCCCAATGGAAATAAGATAGACAGTCCCTCGATGACGCACTGCCTTTCTTGGGTTATCCTGGGTGGCTAACCCTCCAGGGTTAAAATTCTGAACAACTCTTATCTTACTCTCATTGCAGATGTTTGCACCTTGCTTGACAGGGTGTGGGTTTCATACTTGATGTTGCATACTCCAGTATGGGCCTGATGTATGGCATATACAGTGTCATAAATGATTGCTTAGATTTAAGGAAGGTAGTCATAGATTTACCAGATGTGCATTTGCTACAGCAGTTATTCTGTTGATGTGCACTTCAGGTGATATGCTTTGTACAGTGCTTACCCCAAGGTCCACCCCTTGAGTGAGGTTTACATCCTTTGCCCCCATTCCTCCCAAGCCTGTACTCTCTCCAGTCT